GGTAGCAGCCCATGCAAGAAACATTGTAGGCTTTGATCAAGGTATCAGAATAGGAAGTGGAGGGATTGGATTATATTTAACGTATGTTTTGAATGAAGAGTTAAGGAAATAGTCTGCCTTCTCAAAGTCTCCAGATTCCTTAAGAATTTATCATATTGGCTTCTCATCAAATAAAAAATCCAAAAGAACCTGGATTTAAGGACTAAAAAATGGTTCTAAAAATGGGAAAACTCAGGTTTTAAATTCTCTGACCTCTACTATCTTATCCATAAAATTTAGATAGTACTTCCTGTGGCTTCCCTACATGGCTATTATGAAAGTACAATAAAATACTTCTCAAACTAATTTTAACTTAATCAACCTGCTAGTAATATTAGCAAAAACTCATTTCTCTGTAAAGTATACACATGGAAACTAATGGCTCTCTAAATGCTAAAATCTAGTAAACTACTCTCTAATAAAAACATCAAATTGGGATGTGGAACCATTAATCATAAGAATAAAAAATGTGTAATATACAAAATATATGACTTAATACTAGGTTTGCTTTATAAGCATATTATATCACTTGAATAAATAAAAGTTAAAAATTGTACAGATTGATTTGTAATGGGCTATGGAAGACAAATACATACAGAATTTATGAAATTCTACTCAGAGAACCAATTCTCAGTAACCAAAATTATATTTGTTATTCTAGTGATTTGTAAAGTGGCACATGTTTATGTTTTCAAATAAACAAATTAAAATGCTTACTATTATGTGTGTTTTCAGTAAAAAATAAATAGAGCACAGTCTATTTGGTACTTCTAGAGGACCTGAGTTTGGTTGCCAGAACCTATGTCAGATGGTTCACAACCTACTGTAACTCCACATGTAATAGATCCAATGCCTCTGTAGGCACACACAAACACACATGGAGATAAACACACATTCAGACACACACACACACATTTTTTTACTTTAATGATATAAATAAGGTGATTTTTTTTTACTTTAGCAATATAAATATTTTATCACCCCTCACAACTTGTGTACTGGCTTCCCCACATTTTCTCCTCAGATTCTAATAAACTTTCTTTCAGATAAAGAAAGCATAAATCACATATTACAGTTGCAGAAATCAAGGTTACACACACACACACACATGCAAGCCCACATGGAGATAGTCACATAACATAACTTAAAATAAATCTTTGGGCTGGAGAGATGACCAGCGGTTAAGAGCACTGATTGCTCTTACAAAGCATCCAGTTGGATTCCCAGCAACAAAATGGTGACACTCAACCATCTGCTTCCTGGGAATCCAGTGCCTTCTTCTGGTCTCCATAGACCTGGGGCACACAAGCAGTACGTAGACATAAATGCTCGCAAAACACCCACACACATAAAATAAAAAGAATTGTTTCAATACATAATTGTTGGTAGTTTTTTTGCCTTAACCAATGATGTTTATGATGTTCTGTTCTGTTAAAAAGCACATCAACTCCTAGTTCTCAATATTTACTGTGCCTGGAAATCTTTTGTGGGCCTTTATTAAAATGACAAGTTGTGGGCCTTATCCCTGCATATTTTGATTCCCTAACACTGGAGTGAGGCTAGAACTCATTGAGAATCACTCGTCTGTAATAACTAAGTGAGATATAGAAGCAAAAAAAAAACACACTTGCTTTTCAGAATGTTCATAGTATAGAGGCAACAACATTTTAAAAAGTAAAGTGAACGGGGCAGTGGTCAGAACTAAAAAATATGGTAAAGGCTAACTGAGAGTTCTCCAATTATGAATGCTGAAGGAGAAGAGATGTTCTAAATGAAGTCTAGAAATGGGAAGAAGCAGTAGATATATGACAATATGATGCTTTGGAGCAATACAATATACCTAGGAAACCAAGGAAATAAATGCGAACAGGAAGGTAACAGGACACCTTTCCGAAGAGAATTATAAGAAAATCAAAGCTAAATTTTGTTGTAGAAAGCAGTGTTTTCAAGTTGAGTTGCACAGAATTCATATTCAGGAAAGGTGGTTTGTGTATGTTGCAAGTAGCTGAGCAAGAGGGCATTCGAGTGCACATATTGAACTTGAAACGGGTTATAATAAACTGATGCATTAGCCTGTCTCTCTGATCGTGAGCATTTTCAGTTATTATAAAGAGTTTAGCTTCACATTTACAGGGTAACAAATGCCTATACCTGCTTATGGACAGTATTACACAAAAAACACAAACTACAAAAAAGTATTGGTTGGCTGTATAACTTGTTATAATTCTTCAGATCAATTTAAGCCAATAAAGCGCCACATTTATTTGTTCTAATCGATTTTACTGGAGTACAACAAGACTTGTTTCTGAAGAACTATTGCTCTATGGAAACTAACATAGAGTTTGTCCCAGGCAAATCATATTGCATTTGGGTAATAACATTATTACAACAAAATGAAGTATAATAAGGTAAAATAAGAAGTGAGGAAATCAGAATGTATTTTCAAGATACAAATCAAGAAAATAAGACGAAATGAACAAGTACTGGGGAGGGGAAATGGCATAAAATGCAGAACTACAAAGGAAATAGGATTTGATTCTCCATCAGATAGTGGGGTGAGGGGACTCGGTTCAATAAAACAGGATCTAGATTTCCACTTTAATTTTAGCCATGATGGAAAGGTGAAAGTACACAGAGGGTGCTGACTTCTTACTATTCAGAATAGAATGTTCTTTATACATTTAATCAGTAAGTCTAAATGAAGTTCTCATTTCAATAATGGCTCTAATTTTGGATTTCCTTAATCCATTTTATATATTCATTATAGACTATGTTACCTATAAAATAGTTACATAATCACTTTTCAAAATTAAGTATAGTCCTTGGCAAAGAAGCTATTATGTTTTCCTTATTTGGGGTGACTTCAGTACTATTAGTGCATATCCAATACAGCTGCCTAGCCTCATTATTCGAAACTTATTGCCATAAATAATATATTTTTATTTAATATATTATTTATATTTGTTCTGCTACAAACAAGGTGATTTTTTTTTAACTTTAACAATATAAATATGGCCGGGTGGTGGTGGCACACACCTTTAATCCCAGCACTCGAGAGGCAGAGGCAGGTGGATCTCTGTGAGTTCGAGGCCAGTCTGGTCTACAAGAGCTAGTTCCAGGACTGCCTCCCAAGCAACACAGAGAAACCCTGTCTCGAAAAACAAAAACAAACAAACAAAAAACCAATATAAATATTTTATCACCCCTTCCAACTTGTGTACTGGCACATTTTGTCCTCAGATTCTAATAAACTTTCTTTGAGATAAAGAAAGCATAAATCACATATTACAGTTGCAGAAATCAAGGTTCCAGGGAGAAAAATACCTTCCCCATGATAGTATGACTGTCAGATGCAGGTTTGTTTTAAATCTGATTCATCTGGTTCATAGGCCAGTGCTCTTCCTACCATGCCATCTGCATTTGAAATAGCACACACTTAATTTCTGCCACTAGCCATGGCCATTCGTTTCTTAATGAACTTGTAGGAGACCACATGCTGAACTTTCTTTCCCGTGTTTACACATCAGAATTGTTCTTATTTAAAATTTTCTCTCCTGGCTTTACAGCCTCGGCTGCCCAACATCTGGTTTAGAAGTCTACCTGTTCTGTTCTAATTTTATCTCTAATAAAATTCTTCTGTATCACTATCAGATTCATTAATTGAGGTGATTAAAGGAAGTTTTCTCAGAATGTGGGAAAGGAAATAGAAACAAAATAGAGAATTAAGATATAATTCCCCTGCATAGCAATTCAAATTTGGCTTCCAGGACTCTTGTACACCCTTGTTTCATGACCACTATATTAAGCTCTTCCTTACACTGATATAATATCTATTATATCATCTGAGGGAAGATATCATTATTGCATTCAAATTTCATACAATTGATTAAATATGTTTAATTCTAAATAAGCTTGAGCTTTAAGTAACCTAATGACTATAGATTTAACATTTCATAATAATCCTTCTAGGAAGAGCTGAGGTAATGACTAAAACTTTATTATATATCATTTGTTTACTACAAAATTAAGAATTTGCAAAATTTTCCTTTTTTGAAGTATTAAATTGTTTGGTACTTAATTCCTGCAATTTCTAAAGTTTAGTATTTTTCTTATGATGTATTCAAACACAGTTATAAAACTAGATTCATTTGTATCATACAAATTGACTTAAAGTTTTTTCCTTGTATAAATCGTATCAACATTATACTTAAAGGCAACCCCCAAAAAGAGCAATAAAAGATATATAGATATATCACTTTACAAAGTGATACTAGAATATCTTTATGTAGTAGTGCTACATCTGTTTTATTAAAATCTCATTTTCTTACCCTGTCCAAAGTTCTGCTTGCTCATTAGAAGCTCAAAATCAAAATATAACTGTCTAAAATGTCTTCTCGAGAAACCAGAACAGTAATTACTTTGGAGTTTTTATGAGTATTGCAACTTCTCAAAAACATTAAATCCACAGGATCTGCACATTCATGAAGGGTCTAAACTATTTTTTTCATATCTATAATTTTTAAAAAGTTATTGGACTCATTAATCTATTACCTACCTAATTCTAGCACCTCGGTAAGAGCCTTATTCCTTTTATTGAACAGAGAGATAGAATTAGCAGTCAGATTCTCCGGATGACAACACGGGAAACCAAACGACTATCAAGTCTCCATGTCTCCTTCAGTTTACTACTCGTACACAAATATGTTTTTCTCCACTGACTGGACCTTAACGTCTTGCAGATACTACTTTTTCTGTGTTTTCCTTCTCTTTAAACTACCATTGTTTTTAATAAATTAATGCCCAAGTTGACCTAGTACTGGGCTCTTTGAGGCTGGCTCCCCAACAATTTCCAGCCCTGAGTGTGTGAGAGTGTGTCTGTGTGTGTGTTACATGTGTTTCCTTGTTCCTTCGCAACAGTAAAATAAAAATTTAACAGACCTTAAAGCCAATTCAAAACCTACCTTGCAAATCTGGAAATAGTCTGAAGTCAGGCTTTCCTGGATCTCCTCTCTGAGAACCCCTGCAGTCCCTCCTGGATGCACCGAGCCACTTCCAGCCCCACCGCTGTTACTGCCACTGCCGCTGCCACTGCCAGGGGAAGAGGCAGTTAAACCGTCCAAAACTTTTCGGAAATTAAACTTCTTCATTTTAAACACTGTTGAAAAAATTAAAAGGAAAGAGAAGGGGTGACAAACATGGATTCGCACGGGGCAAAAGCCTTTACCTTCTCATCAGTCAAGACAGGAGAAGCTAGTCCCCATTTTATGAGCCTTGAACGTAGTCTAGGGAAGATTGGGGCTCAGGCTTCATTTTGTCGAATTTTAACTTTAAAAAGCCATGTCTTTATAAAATAAAGAGAGCACAACTCCGAGAGCAACAGTCTTCCTTCCTCACACATCAGATTTTCAAGGGCTTTCTCCCCAGCTGTAGCTATGCTTTATCAGCACTGGGGTAAAAATAAAAGGCAGTGTCACCATCGTCATTAGCATTATATCATCATTATTATACAATCAAACCAGAGCCCAACAGATCAAGACCCTCTGGATCGCTCTGAAAAGGGGCTTTCCTTCTTCAGGGTCAGCTCCGAAAATTTTATTATCAGAAAAAGCGATGTTGTGAGGGAGCCAATATTTACTCTGCCACCATGTTCGAGGCTCCCCCCCCCCATCATATTCAGCGCTCCCTCTTTCTCAGCAGGAATTGGGGGATAGGGCAAAAATGGCTTTTTTTCACCCCGTATTCCCAAAAACCCGGACCCCAAAACATCTGCGGGTGACTCACGGCCACAGCCGACGGGAGGGGCGAGCGGGGGACGCCTGCCTCCACCTGTCCCCGTCTCCTCTCTCTGTCCCTCTCCCGCCCCTGGTCTCCCGTGTCTGCTCCCCGCCCGGCACCTCTTCTGCACAGCGGCGGCTCTCGGGGGGGAGATGTGAGGCGGCGGTGACGCCTGCGGGCCCGAGTCCCGCCTCAGCCTGCAGGGCGCGCAGAGCTGGCTCCCTCGCTCCCTCCTGCCGAGCAGGGCGCCGGGGCTACCAAGGCGGGCAGCGAGCCCCGGAGCCCTCACAGACAGCGGCGCACGCCACATGCACCTCACAGACAGCAGAGCGGGTGCGCGCGCGGGGAACACACACTCACACACACACGCACACGCACACGCACACTCACACTCACAAGCACGCACACAGGTGTGAGAGGGAGCCGCGATGGGACGGCACGGGTGTCCCTCGGGACCCCAGACTTAGCACCTTCCTCAGACGCCGCTAGCCGCCGGCCAGCCGGTGAGGCGGAGGGCGCGGAGGCTGCGGGCTCGCAGGCGGGCGACGGTCCAGCCCGGCTCCGGCCGCTTCTCGGGTCCCTCTGGTCCCGGTGCCTGGCGCTCTCCGAGGTCCTAACCGAGCGGGCGGGTCTGCCGCAGGCTCCGCCCCCGCCGTGGGGGGTAGGCCCCGCCCCAGGCGTCCCGCGCCCTCCTCCCTCTCCCAGCCTCTCGCGGCGGGGGCGGGGCCCTCTAGGCGCCAGAGGGCGGGACATCCTCTCGCCAATGACAAGCTCCACTGACCTGAGTCCCCGGGACTCCAGGCAGGAAAGAAGTTTGGGGATAGGTCGGTCGAAAAGCCAGTGACAGGAGGAGGGGGATAATTTAGGAAAGTAGGTGAGGTATTTGATTGACAGCCTTACTAGCCAGTATGCCCTGGCGCCGTGCTTTGGGGGCTGTAATTGGCGCTACCTGTTGAAGGACGCAAGTGTGAATCAATAGAATGCTCTCAAGCAGGAGAACTTGGCGCTCCTGGAGTCCGAGGCTGCAGGGCGGGTTATCTTGGGTCTCGCTCTGGACCACACTGTGATCTGGGCTTTTTTTTTTTTTTTCAGCCTTTTTTCTCTGAATCTCTTCCTGCTCGCCAGGTGCATCTATTGGGCTCCCTTCGCCGTCCTGCTATCTGCGTCTAACGTGGATTTGTAAATAATCTCTACAAACTGTTAGCCTCCTAATGGCTTAACAGGTCACCTGTACCAAAATGAATTGGTTTTCGATGGAATCCTAGCTTCCAGATCTTCAGGAATTGTCTGCCCAGCCTTGCACAGCCTATGAAATAGACCAACGGTCCCCTTCTTCACAGAGACAAATTAAAATTTCAAGGAAACATTTCTCTCCAACCATGTCAAGATGCATTTTAAGCTTTTTCTCATTTGGATAATTTTGGGAAATACTCTATTCCATACAGGAAAATAAAACAGCCCACCATCGTGGGAAGACGTAGTTCTGAGCCCCGACTGGTTGTTCTTAAAAGGCAACTTAGGGTCCATAATCAACCGTATACTTCAGTCTGAGCAACACAACAGAGACAATTAGTAATCATCCCAAATATTTATTGTCTTATATCTTAGATAAAGAACGACACTCGCAGCCCCTCCCCTTTCACTTTCAGAGGAGAGATGAGAGGAAGGAAAAGAGGACATTTGAATGTTATATGACTTACTCAGGCACAAAGCAAAAGAACCATGGTGACAGAATAGCGCTCGGATTTTCAGATACTCAGCTCAACGCTCACATTCTCATTTTGAGTGTTTCACTCCTCAACATTTGCATTACCTCTTTGTGACCCCCTTTATACTTTCATTGTCACAACTAGATAGTACCGTTCTTAAGGGCGGGAATGGAATCTTGTGCTTCTAGTTAATTTAGTACCTGGCACAATATTTAACTTGCAAAAGACAGTTGAGGGTTTTTGAACAATGGACTAGTTAATGACTATCAATTAAAGATTTATAAAATGATACCAAAAATTGGGAGATTGGGAGGGGTGAAAAGTAAGTGTAAAACAAATTCCATATTATAAACTAGATCTTGACATGCTTCTAAATTCTATATTAGATTTCTAACAATATGTATCTTTGTCCTTAACTGTCTTCTCTCACCTTTTTTTCTTCCTTCTGGCCCATTGTTCACTCCAAACATGGGTGTCAATACAAGCTAAAGGATTTTCTTTCCTTCAGCAAAAGTTGATCTGCCTGCCACTCCTTAAGCACCGAATGAATGAAGACAGGTCCATAGCGTGTGGAGGTCCGGTCTCGTGGTAAAAGCGAAGAAAGAAGATATCCCAGTTCAGAAAAGAGAGAAGGAATGTTTACAAACAAAACCTGAATCACCCATCACAAGCGTTGCACTATCACAGACTAGGTGGTGGTCTGTAGTCTATAAAACAAAAGGCCGAAGGGGAAAAGCATGGGAAACAGATTGACAAAAACTTTTCTGAAGATCACAAAGGGAATTCAACAACCTGTTGAGTTTCTTTTTTTAAAGTAATAAAGCACACAGTCATCCAGCTGGAACAACAAATAGGTATAAAATGTAAGAGAAAAGCCATGTCTACATATATACAGGCTTCCGGGCTGGAGAGATGGCTCAGCAGTTGGGAGCACTGGCTGCTCTACCAAAGGTCCTGGATTCAATTCCCAGCACCTACATGACAGCTCACAACTGTCTGTAACTCCAGTTTTAGGTGATCCATCACCCTCACGCAGACATGCAGGCAGGTAAAACACCAACACATATAAAATAAAAATCAGTAAATCATTTTAAATATGTATATATGTGTATATATATATATGCATACATGGTTCCAACTTAAATATTAGAAACTTAAAACAACTGGAAATATGACTCTATGGTGAGACAGTTGTCTAACATGTGTAAGACTCTGCTTCTATCCTCATAAACACACACACAAACCCAATTAAAAATAAAATGAATTACTATACTTAGGACTCTCTGGCATTATTCTAAATATTAGCAATAATCTACAGTATTACAATAACATATACATGGTAAGTACCCAGCATATATTAACTTGAATAAAAGACGAATGTGAAAATTTTAACATAATTGTAATGGGTAAAAGAGAGAAAAATCTCCTGTGCACAAAAAATATGGTGATGACAGCCTAGACTATAAGTGAAGATAGGAAGTGGCAGAGAACAAGGAGGCACCTTGGATGCTAGGAAGCAGCATCGGCCACTGACACAGAAGAACCTTGCGCCATGAATCATGGTGAAATATGTGTGGAAGCGCATTCCATCCTGAATTAAAAAGCAACGGGGTGTTATTCTATAAGCCATTTGGCAGCAGAAATGAGATCAGAGCGTACAATATATCTTTAAAACAACAGGGGAAAATGCCAAAGCTGGATCAAGTACCCTTGAGGAATAGCATCACACTGTGGAATTGGCCTGAGTGGAGTTCTGAATAAACCCTGACTTCTTCCTACCTCCATGGCAAGTATAAAGAACTACCAGAAAGAAAAGCTGTCTGAGTTTGATACTTGCAACAAAGTAATTAAAGCATTGGATGAAACCAATAAACCAGAAGGAGTTTTAGAATATGTGTTGGAAGCATGTGACAGCTCTCTTTAAGGGGTCATAATCTTGGGCTCAAGCCAACTATGAAGCTGATCAAAGCCACTTTTTTCCACACCAAAAGGCAATCAAATAATAGCCCAAAATATGTACTTGTGTGACACTAACTAGAAAGGAGGATTGGTGGAGTTAGCTGGGCTTTGATCAAAGCAAGCCTGTGAATGATATACTGCATATGTAAAGTTCTAGGGGGTGGATGTCACCTACATTCCAAACACCGGAAGCTACGGACCTGACAAATGCCTCGTCAGTTTACTCCTCATTATACTCTGAGACAGGTAGCCATTCTCCCCACATTGCACAAAAAAGAAAATTTAAGTCTCAGAAAGAACTCTGCCCATGATCACTTGAGATAATCTCGTCCTCCAATCGAGGAATGATTTACAGGACCACATTCCTACTCGCTTGCCTATCACTAACCAGAGGACTGGACAGACTAGAATAGGAGAGGCTGGTCAGATATTCTGGAAAATGTGAACATATGTGATTCATCTGCCAGAACTCATAACAAAATAAGACAGATTGGGTACCTTTAACAAGAAGACATATTTTCTCACCATTTTGGAATTTAGAGTTCTAAGACCAAGGTATCAGCAGTCTTAGTTTCTTCTGAAGCCCTAATTGACCACACCGAGCCACCTCCTCCGTGCCTTGCTTAGTCTGTTGTCTGGAGGCCAGAACCCTAGGTTTCTGTGTGTCCAGATTCCCTCATCCCATGACATCCATCAAACTGTAAGCAAGACCATCTTAACGGCTTTGTTTGAATTTAAGGCCGCCAGCTCCAAAGGAACTTGTTTCCTGTGGTAAGGGTGGGGCTTCAAAGTATGAACTTAGGTGGAGGGATACAGTTTAGCCCATAGCAGTGTAACCATCAAATTTGTCATTTCTTGGATAGCATCTACTGTAAACTAGATCTATATCAATTTCTTACATTTGGCTCCTCGTTGAATCCTCACAGACACGCTATACAGTGGTTACCGATAACTCATTTTATACGTGGTAAAACTGAAGGGGAAAAAAGTGAATTCTTAAGCCCAACATCATACATAAGCTTAGAAACAGAGGTTTAGATCATCAGTCTTATCTGAAAGCTCCAAAACTTTCTAGTCGTGCTGGTATCTTTCTGTTTGGGAAACCAGAGAAGTCTCATTATGCAAGTCTTTGATATTTAAGAAAGTTAATTATGGTCAGGTTCAAGTATAGGGATAAAACATTAAAAATTTTTCATCAGGAGTTTGGATGCAACTAAAAGACAATTAAGAGTTGGAGGGCAAAGAATATGAAAAGCAAAGCCTTCTGGGATGGCCGCTCATGGAAGGTTATCTCATAGGAAAGCTGAGTATAATTTGAAATATATTAAGAGAGTCACTAGGGTGTGCCCCATTAGAACAGAAGACAATCAGTTATTCAATAACTAATTAGACAGAGCAAGGCAGTATTAATTTCCTGAGTGAGGCTGGAGTCTCAGCAAATATAAGAGCAGCTGGAGAGACTACGCGTAGAAAGAGTGATAACACAGGATTTCCCATAATGCAAGGCAAGCAACTGTTCATATTAGCAAAAGCAAACTTCTCCCATCTACTTGCTGTGAGATAATGGGTACTAGACCAAATAACCTAAGCTGCCACCCATTTCAGGTTCATCAGACGATTTACAGCGACATCCTTATTATTTGCCAACCCAGGAGTTAGAATTTCATTATGAGAACACAGCTGAGATGCTGCGTCCCAACTATATTCTTTCTAGCAAACTTTCAAGCAGATTAGAGAATTATCCCTCCTTCTAAATCTTTGTCAGGCTTTTTCCTGACATATATATATATATCTCCGATCGGAGGAACTGGTTAATAATTGTCAGCTCTCTATCATGTAGCAGGGAATAACCATTGGCTTTAAAAAAAAATTCCTTGTTCAGCCTACTGCAAGCCCACAAAAGAAAAAAAAAAGCACACAGGGTTAATTAATTA